ATTAAAAATCAATTCACCAACAATTGAAACAGTTGTCGTAAGAAGGTTTTTATATCATCATAAATATTAAATATGAATATTCATCGTTATGATTTATCATCATAATCATCATAAAATTAATAGTCATGATAAACTCTACTATCACTATCATCTTTAAAAAAAACTATAAATTTTAATCGTAACTTTAATCCAAAACAAAACTAAATTATTGTTGTTATAAAGTTATAATCATGAGTTTTTCAAGTCTAGATACAAATAAACAAGAACTAAATTTTTTTCGTAAAACATTGAAACAATCTAAAAAAATTCTTTTAAATTTAAAAATAGATTCTAACATATCAATAATTAATTGTATATCCAATATTGAAGCAATACATATAATAAATAATAATATAAATTGGAAACAAGAACAAATAAAAATTTTTGAAGATAAGATAACAAGATTAATTTGTTAAATATGTCTCAATAAATAGAAAAACCGCTAATAATAACTACTTCGTTCATAAAAAGAAATTAAAGATTTCATTTCTAAAAATACACACAACTTATTAATATGGAAACTTTACAAGAAAAAGTAGAAACACTAACTAAATTATTCGCAGCACTAGAAATTCCATCCGAAATTCAAGAAAATAATACAGAAATAAAAAATAATTTAGATAATAATGACGCAGAAGTAATATATGATTTTTCTTCAGATGACGAAAATCCTTATTCAAATCTATATAGAAATTCACAAAACAATTTTGGGTTAAAACGAAAACAATCATATGTTGAAGATGATTATCAAAGTCAATATATTTATGGACCACCTTCATTAGAAGAAAATTTTTTATATAGACAATGAATGGTTAAAAATAAACAAAATAAATGGGAAAAAATATATCCTCAATACATACCTAAATTATTTACATTTCCAACAAATTCAAATATTCTTTTTATTGATTGTGATCAAAATCCTGAAGCGAAAATTCAAGAATGGAGTAATAAAATGGGAGTACAAATTCAATTAACCGAAGAATTAAGAAATTTACACCCAACACATTTTCTTAATTATATCATTCATAAAACACAAGGTAACGCATATCGTTTTCTCTCATCTCTCGATGAACCCGAAACAATGATGATAGCTACTACTGATGCTATGGAAACATTTAAAAATATATTAAGTCGTCTTATTCAGGAATTTATAGGAAAACAAATTGAAGATAAAGTATCACAAGAAGCTTTTCAATTAGAATCATTATGGCATTTAACTAATCTACGAATTTGTAATATGTGTTATCTAGATCCGTTTATATGCGAATATTCTGAACATTATTATAATTTAGATTCCACTAGAAAAAAAGTAGCATTAGATATGTTTTATCAAAAATTACCATCATTAGTAAGCCAAAGTGTAATAAAAGATTTTCAAGAAGCTCTACAACAAAATAAAATTACAGACACTCTAGGAGCACGAATAAGTATATTAAAAACATGGATGCAAAAGAAATGCTTAGAACAAAAAACAACACAAGACGCAAAAATTGATTTATGTTGTGACATCCTTTCTAATAAAGTTAATCAATATGGTTGTAAAGATAATAAAAGACAAAAATATAAAAAGAAAATTTGGAAAAAACAAACTTATAAACCTAAATATAAAGAATATTATAAACAAGGAGAAAGAAAATATTTTTAGAAAACAATATAAACAAAAATATCAATCTAAAACAAATTATTGCCCATCGAATAAAAAAGATTGTAAATGTTGGATATGTCAAGAGGACGGACACAAAGCTTATGAATGCCCAAAAAAGACTAAAAAAGAAAAAGAAACAAACCTATTAAAAATTGCATATGATCTTGGATATGAACCAATAGAAGATTCAGATATAGATTCAGACATAGATATTTATGCATATACAACTGATTCTGATTCAGATACATGATCCTATGGAAAAAGTATTATTGGGATTAGAACTTGAGGGAAACCTCATATCTAACCCATCCAAAATATACATTGCTAAAGCATACATTGGTATGAAAATACCATATGAAGTAAACAATGATAAAGTATACAATGATATGAAAATATCACCAAAAGCATACATTGATATGAAAATTTTCATATCATCATTTAAAATATTAAAAGCAAACAAATATGAGCAATCATTCAGGTACCCAAGAAACGCAAATATTTAATCAGCAGATATATTGAAATGGAAGCAATCATGAAGCAAATCAAACACCAGTTCAAACAAAAAGAGGAGCAAGAAGAATCATTAATCAGACAACTTGAAGTAGTCAGACGTGAAAAAGAACAACTACAACAAACATTACAATTTTTATCATCCCATTCAGTACCTAAAGAAGAAGCAGCTAGCAACTCAACAACAAAGCAACAAAAAGAAGAGATTCAAGAAATATCATCCGATGATAGTCAGCCACATAAAACAAAAAAACAACCTATGACAACAAACCAAGAAGAATATCCACCACTTCAAGCCGATCATAAAAACACAAAGAAATGGTATGTGATTTTCAATGGAGAAAACAAAGGAATATATAACGATTGGGGAATTGCCAACTCATATATTCTTGGAAAAAATGTCATTCACAAAAGTTACAAAACAAAAAATGAAGCAGAAGCCGCATACAACGAAGCATACAAAGCAGTCATAAAAGATAATGTCGGATGTTCAAAAACAGTTCTCCTTACACCACAAAAACCCATATCCAGCTTTACCCCACAAAAACCTGTATCCATCCCAAAGTCTCTTAACCAATTAAACGCAAAAATCGCCCTTGAAGCCATTCCATCAACCAAAGAAAAATAAGCCATGAAAAAACCAACTACTCAAAAATTTGCTAAACTATGGGATAGTCTCATTCAATACACCGAAGTTCATTCTCCGATGGGCTTTTATCCAGTAGCCAGGCGTCCAGGCCCCAAATCAGTTTTTCTAGCTGATTTATCAGATCCTATGACTTTATGGGATTATTTTATCCATGGATTTATTGACACCGTTTATTTAGAAGGCACCAATCTTCACTGCATCAGTGAATTTCCATCCGCTGTACAAACCATAATCAGAAACTATAAAACACGATTTGCGAAACAAGAACGATGATTATTTATCAAGATGCACTCAAGCTATCCAATTTTTGATGAAGATTCTCAATTACTTATTCCAAGCATCACTTTTGCAAATATGGGAATAAGCAACGGCTCGAAACCAACAAAAGATGATCTACCTCATGAAACACCAACACAAGATCATCTAATTTTTGCACTAGCTCGTGTATATCTAGCATCATCTCGCATAGGCAACGGAAGAGATCAAAAATCAAGAGTCAGAGTAAATTATGCCAGTAAAACTTTCGTTATCTATTCTCTAACAGACAGTGAAATCACTCCAGAAGCATTAAAAGCAATTGAAACTTTCGAACAACCGTTCGAAAAACTTTCTCATCATCTAGCTGAATTACCCGCTGATCTTAAGAAACAACTTTGTAAACACATCATGCATGCACCACGACATAATTGTAGTCACTGTAAAGAAAATATAGAAGAAACACCTTTCATGGAAGACTAACACCAGCCATGACCAAAGCACACATCATTCAGAAAAATCTGTCCTATCGGTGGCGGGAGGAATGATGTAAGCAATGACGTATAAAGCCATTATTATTGAAGACATTATTAAAGACACGTGTCCTTTCAATGTGGAAGGGATTGTTATTTTTTATTAATGTAATTGTTTAAAAGTGTCGGTAGGATAAGTGTCGGTAGAATAATTATTAAGTATTATTTGTGATGTAACATAAAGTGTTAGTCCCTCAATAGTCTAGGGGGCTATAATGTAAATATGTTTGTCATATTGCAATCATACGATTGCAATTCAATTATGTAACCGACTCCTTTGAGCCTATAAATAGGGCCTTTGCCCATATGAAATAAACAAGTTAAATTTGAGTGTTTAAGACTTGAGTTGATCTCAAAGTTCTTCCTCTGTTGAAATAGTTGTTCTATTTCTGAATAGCAGAGCCCTATCCAAACATATTCATATAATCCAAACAATCCATCGTCAATCCATCCTGACGCATCATTCAGATATAATCCTTTCCTAATCTTTTTATTAATTCCGTCATGTCGTTAAAATATATGATTGTTTATATGAATATGTTTGGATAGGGCGCTGCTATTCAGAAATAGAACAACTATTTCGCGATGTGGGACAACCTAAGTATATGAGAAAATAGATATTGTTTAATAAGCTTGAAGAAGACCTTAGGTTCCATTCATGGAATGATGTGGGATAACTTGAGTGTGTTTAGAAAAATAAATTAAGAAGCGCATGCCAAGTTTCAAACACGAGACCTTACGTTCAGTGGCGGAGCTTGAAGTTTTGATTGGGGGGGGGGGAATAGAATATGTATAAAATTTGAAGAACAGGAGGGGCCAAAGTCAAATTTTATAGTTTTAAGCATAATATGTAACTTTTTGAATAGTTATGGACTAATTGTTTAAATAAAAATAAGGGGGGGGGGGGGGAGGCGCAAACCCCTGGCCATATATAAGTTCCGTCTAGCTTACGTTCAAAGTAAAAGAGCAAAACAACATGAACCAACTCCTACTTGTGTCATTATTAAGCAAAACATATTTATATTTTATATCAAATATATATTTTTGTACAAGTAATCGATTCGGTTCGGTTTCTTTCGGTTTTACCAAATTCTAAAACCAAACCCAAACCAAAATTTTCGATTTTTGACCCTTATACAAAGCCGCAAAGGCTAGTCGGGGCTCTTCAAAATCTCATTGCTAGTACCGGTACATCCTATTTGGTTATTATTCAATACATTTTGCTTCTCGGTATTTTGGGTTTGATATCAAACCCCTAACCTGTGTGGTTTGTCTACAGGTTGATAGTGCAAGGACCACTTCTGCAACTTCTTGATAAGATTCTTCCGCGAGTGGGATACACATTCTGACATACATCAGCACCACACCGATGGAACGATTTTGCCGCCCCAAAATCTTGCCTAGCATAGTTTCCGTTCACTCGGTCGGGGCTCGGGACACTTCTCTGATCTCTCACCAAGGACAGAGGAACCCATTAATGGCGTCTCATCCTATCCCTCTTCGGCGGCTCTAGCCTTACATCACCCGTGTAAAAGATCGAACACAAGTTCCTTTCCCGGAGCCCTAGGTTCTCCTCTGTTTTTGCCAAGTGAGTTCTTCAACTTATAATTATGAATTTGGGCCCCTTAACTGTAAATATACTTTCTTTTGTCGATCCACAATACCTAATTGTAAGCTAAGAATACTCGGTGTGGCTTTTACTATTGGATATGATTTGCGAAGTATAGAAGAGTTGTGAATTGTCAAGTTCTACTTTTTAATTTACGAATTTTGTTTAGAATCCAGTTTTGTTACTTCGATTGTTCTGATTCCAACATCCTTTAACATTATAGTTATCCGCTATTGAGCTGTGGGCACAGTCGTCTAATGCATGTACACTCGAACACTTACATGAGGCGAGGAATACTTGGTGGGAGGGAACTCCTGCACGTTGATAGAAGAACATGGGAAATTCAACATTCTACTCATTTTCTAAATGCCTACAATCTCACTGCACTTAAAGCATTTCATTCACTTGAGAAGAGACATCAGAAAGGTATACATGACCCTTACAAATATTTTGTCTGATACTCGGAATAAACACTTAAACAGAAACTTAAAACCTAGCAAAATCCAAATGTTTCAGGATTACAATATGCAAACATGTCTTCTCAAACTGTGCTAACAAGAAACAGTAGTAGTGTAGCCAGTGAAAGCTTGCAAGAGTTGCATTCACCATTTACATACGAAGCTGCCATGGAAGCGCTTTCATCTCTGATCACTGGAAAAAGACGTGATGGAAATGCAAATACAGATGCTAAATACAAGAAGCTTGAGAGGATGTCAATGTATGTCCAGGTAACTTGATAATATGGAAATGTGTCATGAGAAATGCATATCATAGATATCTGCCTAAATATTATTATGATTTTGTATTTCAGATATTAGGCATAGAGAAACAAATTGCTGACCTTAACATTATCCATGTTGCTGGAACCAAAGGAAAGGTACATCTACATCCATTTGTTTATATCTTTCTGAATTGTTATCAAGTCATATCTTCAATACATAGAGATTTCCATTTATTTTCTCTTGGTGCTTGTTTTTTGTTTTCTTCCATCAAGTGCTGAATGTATAAATGATGATAAATCTGAGTAAATGACCATTTTACCCTTTCTCTCTAGAAGTGATGGTGAATAACAAGTGACTATAACTGTTATAATGACAAATTTTAACATTTCTTTGGACACTCTTTTTTCGTTTCTTCTGATAAAGTTCATAATATATCAGGGTTCAACATGCACATTTTGTGAAGCAATTTTAAGGGAGAGTGGTTTTAAAACTGGCTTGTTTACTTCTCCACATTTAATTGATGTGAAAGAAAGGTTTCGTCTTAATGGGTATGTATCTAGTTGTGTTACATTTTTTCATTCTTTTTACATCATATAGAATTATCCTGTATATCTGTTTTTAACATTTTTATTCTAAATCTAAATGCTGAATGTGTAGGTTGGAAATATCCGAAGGGCAATTTTTACTATATTTTTGGGGTTGCTGGCATCAGTTGAAGGTATTACATCATTACTAAAAATAGTCTGATGAACTTTAATAGCTGGTTCTGATATGTATATATTTTTTTCCTGGATATGTAATTTGGCAGGATAAAGTCACAGAAGACCTGCCAATGCCTCCACTCTTTCAGTTCCTTACTCTACTGGGATTAAAGATATTTGTATCCGAAAAGGTATAAAATTTTAAATCTCTAGTTTCATTTAGGTTTTTAATTGTGCATAGCATGCAATATGTTTTAATGATCCATTCCCAACCAAACATGACAATGGAATGTAATGACTCATTCCATTACCTTGCTTATTCCATTACTCTGTTCATTGCAGGTCGATGTTGCTATTATTGAAGTTGGTCTTGGAGGGAAAAACGATTCAACGAATGTGGTAATACACCTTTCTTTTACTTTTTTCTTCATCTCATTGTTTATCATTTTTTTTTTGGGTAGAAAATGTTTTAAAAAAAGCCCTTTCTTTTTTTTACCTGAAATCTGATCACCATTGCAGATTCAGGATCCTACTGTGTGTGGCATTACTTCTCTTGGTTTTGATCACATGGAAATTCTCGGTGAGTTCTCTTCACACAATGTAACTAACTTTTTTACCAAATAACCCAAATCAAAATGTTCATAAGTAAATGGTCAAAATACACATCTCTTCAACTCTTGACAAGTCTGATATAGTGGTTAGTGCTTTAACTGTAGGAGATACTCTTGAAAAGATTGCTTCACATAAAGCTGGGATATTTAAGGTACAAAGAAGTAGGTACATTCAAACTACTCTACATATGTGTCTCTGATAGTTTTCCATTGTTAAAGTATTTTTTTTTAATGTCTTCTGTAAAGCCTCAAGTTCCTGCATTCACTGTACCCCAACTTCCTGAAGCAATGGATGTTCTTAACCAGAGGGCACATGAAGTGGAGGTACCCTTAGACCCTCTTTTTTTCTCTGTATGGATAAAGTTGGAAACAATAAGAAACTAAATAGCTTCCTTTCCAATAATGAATGTTAGGCTCCATTGCAAATAGTAGCACCACTTACATACGAAAGGTTGAAAGGGGTGAAGCTAAGTCTATCTGGTGATCACCAGCTTGCAAATGCTGGGCTTGCTGTTTCTCTTTGTAAAAGTTGGCTCAACACTACAGGAAACTGGGAAAAATTGTTCCCAAATGTGAGTTATAACAGTTTACCAGAGGCATTTTTGAGGGGTCTTTCAAGTGCATATCTTCCAGGAAGGGCTCAAATAGTTCATGACTCGTGTTTGGGGTTAAATGATCAAATGGGATCTGATAAAAGTTGTTGTGGGGAGTTGATCTTTTACTTGGATGGAGCTCATAGTCCTGAGAGCATGGATGCTTGTGCTAAATGGTTTTCTAATGTTGTCAAGGAAAAGATTCATAGACCAGTCTCATCTTCCTTTTCTAAAGGTGAAAACGTGGAAGACGTTTGTAGTAATGGCTGCATTCAACAGGAAGAATCTAAAACAATATCCAAAAGGGTAAAAATCATGATTGCACATTTTGTTATATTAGTTAAAACACAGCTGCTTATGTAATGTACATGTTTGTTTATCAGATTCTGTTGTTTAATTGCATGGATATGAGAGATCCAGAAGTTATTCTTCCAAGACTTGTGGATATATGTGCTTCATCAGGTATTTCATATTATATATGTTTTTTTTACTATTGCTGAATATCATTTTTTTAAAAAATAATTTTCATTAACATGAGCAGGTTCTGATTTCTCAAAAGCAATTTTTGTCCCAAGTATCTCAACATACAGCAAGGTTACTTCTGGTTCTTCAGACATCCCTTTGAGCATCCCCTCAAAGGATCTGACATGGCAGTTCAACCTCCAAAGAGTTTGGGAAAGAATTATTCATGGAAAAGGTTTTTTACTTTTTTTTTATTATTAAGCAAACAAAATCCCACATTCTAGAGACTAGCGGACCCCACTAATTTTTAAGGCCCCATTTGTTACACATGACAATTGACATGACATAACAGATTGACTGAGACTAATATCAATGAAACAAAAATTGCCCAAAACGTTGTCTATCTCTCTCTCTCGCGTGTGTGTGTGTGTAAATGACGAGAATGCCCTTTCTCATCTTTATCATTGGTCGGGAATAGGCTACAAAGGTTTTAACATACTTGATGCATTGCAGACATTGGGGTAAACAAAAGTGTGAAACTGAAGATGGAAGCTGTTGAAAATTCACCACCTCCTGAATTCCTGTATGATGATGATGATATATCTCACTGCAATCCTGCAAATGGAAACTTTAGTTGCAGTGCAGTTTTTCCATCACTACCCTTGGCAGTTTCATGGTTAAGAAAATCTGCTAGAGAAAACCCTTCACTTAGGCTTCAGGTAATATTCCAAACAAATGAAAATTTACCAAATAACCCCTAATTAACAAAAGGCTGTTTGTTGAGCGACTAAAGATGGAAAAATTAATTATTAACAGGTTCTTGTAACTGGATCGTTGCATCTTGTTGGTGATGTCTTGAAGCTACTGAGGAGGTAGTTATTAATTATTATGTCATCTTTGAAAATTCTTATACAAAAAATGCTATCAACATTTAAATGTTCAATTGTAAACATCACGATTACTATTTTTGACTTATACAAAATTGAAGGAAAATCATGGCAACACTTCTAGACTTTAGTTGATAATGAATAATTCAAAATGTCTTGTATAACTATATTGTATCACATTTTTAGCATGTACTTGTTCATTTTCTCAAGTGTATTGGTTTTTAACCTTTTTTTTTTTGGTATTTTATATTTACCCCCCAACTTTAATAAAACTGTAAGTTGGGATAATAGCATCTTCAATCTATGCACCAAATGTTACACTCAACTTGGTGTGAACACCAAATTTGATTTTGTTCAATGGTAATGAGTGAGTTATATGAGTATTGTTTTGATTAAATTTGAAAGAAAATGTTATACCACTTATATCTTGAGAAATGTACTCAAACTATTATTTCACATGACTCTTTAATGTTTAATATTAAAAATCAAAAATAAGTTATACAAAGCATATCATTAAATAAATCCAAATCATTAAAACGAGTCAAACACTGAATTTTAATCTAAGAAAAATCACAAAAAATAACAAAAATGGTTAAATGGGTGGTCGACTTGACAAAACGAAAAGGCCACCTTTTTGGTATTTATAATGACAACTCATTCATAATATTTTTGAGCACAAATATCTTTGAAAATAGAAAAACAAAACAGAAAAAATTTATATTATTATTATGCAACATGTGAGTGTATTTCATAATCTATTAATGTATTTTGTAATATATAAACCGTTAATAAACGTGTATTTTAAAATATATCAGCTGATTTAAAAAAAAAAAAAAAAGTTTTGAAGGTTTTTTTTTTTTTTTTTGGTAGACACCATTCAAAAAATTTATTTCGCAATTACATTGATTTTTTATGCGAACTATAAATAAATTTATATGATCATTGTAAAATGATCTCATCCATTTTTGATATTTTATGATTCTGCTTTGAATCGTTTTTAATATTCATGTTATCATATTTTAGTTTTGTAAATGGCACAATTATCTCTAAAACTAGAACAGTTTTAAGAAACAATAAAAAAATAATTATAAATTATTAAATCCATTAAATAATGAAAGTATTTTTTTTGGTATTATGTGATTGTCTTTTTAGTTTGTGTTTTTGTGCATCTATGTGTAATAGCTAATAGGAAACAAAATGCCGTAACCAATAAAAGTCAGAAGTGATGGACGTTTTCTTTTAACTTTGAGTAAAAACAAGTGTTGTTTTTTCTTGGTTAGACTTAGAACATGATAGGTTAGATCCAACATGTCATGTTCTTACACCTGGCGTCCTTCACTCCGTAGTGATTCAACCATACATGTGATTGATTTAGCGGTGTATTTGATTTTGAAACGTGGTATGCACAGTCTAATAAGTAATAACAACAATATCACAACACCGCATGAATTTTAATTAATACTCCAAAATAATTATCAAAGCCAAATTTAGAATTCTCATTAATCCCCTCGAATTTTCATATACTTATATAAGTGGTTAGGAAATCATTATTATCAATGTTAGAAAATACATCCTTTTCTTTATAGGTAAGTAAACAGTTGTTAATAATTGTCATCATTGTGCAATTACTATCCATTCGTTACACCATCGGTGGGTTGAGTATTTGTGATCGTTAATTTAGTCACTAATCTGATGCTGCCATTGTGTTGATAATCCTTATTTTTCTTTTTTGTTTATTGCTTGTGAGAAAATATCTGTCTTGTAACACCAACTTTTTGAGCCTTTGATTTATGCATGTAGGAAGACCTCGAATAAAGCTACAAGGTATCAGAGAGTAACGTTACATACGTAAATAAAAACACGATGTTTTGTTAATTATCTTATGGTGAATAGATATTACTTATTTAATTAATTATGTTGTATGCATTTGCCCCAATCCACTATGGTTTGAAAATTCATGAGCACATTTGCTATGTCCTTCCCCAATCTACTAGGTGTCACACTAGCTAGTAGATTGTCCATATCGAGGAATTCTCGTACTTCTAGTATTTACCATGATTTCATGCATGGCAAAATGTTAATCCAAGAAAAAAAAAATCATAAACTGTAGTTCTTAACATAGAACAATTTAGCAGACAATGCCACAATGGTAGTATAACCTACATGCATGCTACTTGTTTCCCTGAACTCATTATAGTTTAAAGTTAAACACTAATCTTAGTATCTACTACCTAGTTTACTTAAACTTATGTTATACAAATTAAAACATTACTCTTTAGGCCTGTTTGAAATAACTCCACCATTTTAAAGCGAAAGTCCCATGGTTCATCAAATTTCAAAAATGTATTGTTTCTTAATTAACATCTCAAAGGATCATAAAAAAATAACACTGAGACAAGTTTACAAGTTTGTCAAGTTTTACTCTAAATAAAAAGGTCTTCATTTGTACTTATCTCCTCATCATAACTTCTAATATCATAATATCATTCATTTGTCTCACACATAAAAGAATAAAATTGGAGAAAAGTCTAGCGAGTAAGATATGGCAGAAGCAATACAATAATTTTTTGAGATTTAACAATTACGTTTTTCATTGCAATAACCTATAATGAACAATTAAGCTCTTCATCGAAACATCTATAATGAGCAATTATTCTCTTCATAAAAAAACATATATAATGAGCAACTATGCTCTTTAGATAAAACATTAGGGACAAGGGTGTCGCGTTGATTTTGAAAGCCATGTGTGAAAAATAAAATTGGACCCCTAAATATAATTTTTTTTATATATAAGCAAAATTAATTCATACGGTGATAACTCGATAAATGTTATAAAAACAATCGAAACAAAAGAACGATAATACGATATATAAACTTAGAGAGTTACATCAAGCCCGATGCTATCATAGCATTATTGCAAGCAAAACTGTTCTTCAACTCTTCATAATCAATATTTTCCAATATCTCATTCTCAATAGCTATCATTGTCCAATCATTAAATATTAAATATTTCTTTTGACTTTGTAGACCGGAAGTAAGACTTTAACAACTTTAATTTTGATCTCTATCAACACCTGTATTATCAACATTAATATTTTTTATTCTAAGAAGAAACTGAGGTGTATTTTGGACAAACCTATCAAGAGCCCCAATTTGAGACCTTAACTCTCTCTCTCTCTCTCTCTATGCCACAAACAAGAACATAACTACAAAAACTAAGGGGAAATAGTAATTAGAGAAATCACTCAAAACAGGTCTCACATTTCATAATGCACTAATGTGAAGTTAGAAATTCAGTCATTCATAATACATGTGTTACCATGTTACATTCGTTAATCCACGACAACAATCAGAATATAAAAATGAGAGGTCGTCAAATTTAGAAATTAGAAATAGTGAAACACTTGTTTAATTGCAATTGACAATAAAAAATCAGAGCAAAGTGCAATACAAAAAACAAGAGGTAGAGTCCAGCGGAATCAGAAAATCAAGAAACATAAACGTTGTTTGAGCTTTGCAGTTGCTGTGAATTTGAAAGTTTGGCATTAGAACAAAACGTAAGCTCTTGTTTGCCGTAAATTTACATTAGCCCAAATGCAATTTTAATGTTAAGCCCAATTTTCCAAAACGTGAGTTGTTGCAATTTTTAATTATAACATAAACTATTTAAATTAGAAAAAACATGAGCTTTTGTCTTTTTGATTACTGGATTGTCGATTGTTAGACACTGAACTGAATCATATGTAATATTGGTCCCCTCCACGACATAGACCAGAACGGCCACCCACCTCGCACACCCTCAAAGACACCCATGATTAAGGATTGTTGGAAACTTAGTGTGGTGATCATCAATGTGCGGTTTTTCATCCCAAATCAGTGGATAAACATGATGGTTATTTCCAAATATTCATGAGTTTATTTGCCATGTGTTGCATTCATTGTATTTCATTCCAATGCCTTGAATGAGTCTTAGATTTCATCTTTATTGATCCTAGAGTCGAATTAGTGGATTATGGAGTTGATTTCTTGGTAAAACCACGTCTGATGTGAATGTACATGCTTTGTATATTCGACATGACTTTACACATGACTTTATTAATTATTGGTACGTTTACAAAGCTTTCATAGGTTAAGTCACAACGATGATATTGGATCCAAGGTATTTCACAAGGAAGCTTTAAAGTCATACATAGGGAGATGGAAAGTTTGGATTTTGGGGGTCGAATTTACAAAACATAGAATCTAAATACCCCTAAAATATATAGAAGCTGTAGGATGCATCAAACTTTTATATTTAAGTTTAAAACTTTAAATATAAGACGGCAACACCAAGACACCAACAGGCAACAACAAAACGGCTCTCCTTCTTTCAGTATTTCACACACCCAAAGCCCACAACAAACGCTGTCCATTTCCTTGCATTCTTGATTCTTGTATCATCATCGATCATCAATGGCGGGTCTATATTCTTCTCTCAGACCCGGTTCCTCGTCGTCATCCTCAGCACAATCTTCTCAGTTTTTCAATTCAAAAATCTTGCTCTTACTCACAGTTCTTCCGCTCTCTCTAGCAGCCTTCGCCTTCCTTCTCCAATGGCGTGGCGAAATCGATGATCCAACAACCCGGTGGGGCCCCAAAGATCGTCTTGAGTTCCCGGGTATGGATGCTTCTACCTCCCCCGAACAGCTTACGCGAACTTCTTCCTCGAATTGTGCGGATCTATTGGGTCAAAGCCGCTCCATTTCCTTCCCTTATTATAGGGATTGGAAATTCAACTACAAATCCGATCTAAAACCTAAGGTATCATCCAGACATCCACAAATTTTATTTTTTCTCTTCGATGAATTCTTTGGTTGATTTGGGAAAACGAGATTGTTTTTTATTGATCATGTGCTTGTCTTCAATTTCCCGTTTGAACCCAAAAAGTCATAGTCTATTACTATATGAATTTCAAATAATTGGTATGTTAATCTTCATGGATATATTTGTCGTGGAATCTTTAGGTTTTCTGAAGATAACTGCGATTCAAATTTTGAAAAAAAAAAGGTGTATGCTTGTCTCAATGGGTTAGGGCTCAATATCGTATCTGATATATCATAATTCAGCGGCATTTACAATGTTTCTTCCTGAAGCTAGTAGGATAAAAGTGGGATCAAATTATGAACCGATGATATAGTAACCTAAGAATCTACAAA